ACTCCTCCCCTCTCTTTCTTTTGCTAACCCAAGAGCACAGCTGAACAACTCCTCCCAGAGGTATTACCTTATCTTTTCTTTTCATTAATAAAGTGACTCCAACACTTTCAACACAGCAGACTAACCAAAACACAAGAATGATTACTCTAATATGTGCCATGATAGGTAAAACCTGGAGGTGTTACCTCATGTATTGTTCTAGAAAATGAGTGATCCCTACCAACAGTAACCCCAAACCGAAGCCCATTAGCAGGGATTGCCCTGAAGCTCTGTGGTAGGGCACTTCCCTCGCACCTGTGTGATCAGAGGAGCCAGAGGCCACTGGATAACCTTTCTCCATCTGCATCACACACTGCCACTGTTTCTCGGTCAGATACAAGAAATCCAGAGCCTCGAGAAGAGAAAAAAAAAAAAAAAAAAAAAAGGTCCAATGCACAAATACTGCATATTTGACCACTACTAATAATGCTGTTCAGAATGCATTACTGATTTAATGAGAACCACTGCTAAGTGTTGCAACCAAAGAGATTAATTCACAAGCTGGTGTAAGTGTCCTCAAAATCAAACTCAGCATGTGTATGTCACCTACCTCGTTCTTATGTGCTTTGCTCCTTTTTCCTTAACTCTGTTTACCAAGAAACATTTCATTCCCCTGCAGGAACAGCTTTCCAATTATTTTCTGGCTCACAGATTAAGTACTATATAATAACAAAAAAGACACCACCTTGTTTGGTGAAGGAGACCTGTCTTACACTTTGCTAACATTATAGACAGATTTCACGGTCATGGGAAAACAAAACACCCCAAATGGAGCGGTTATTAATTCAATAAATCCAGCTGCTCTCAGTGCTCTGGGCAAAAGGCAAAGTTAAAAGCAGCTGCTCATTGATGACATGTGCGACCTGACCAGGGGAAGGTAGCTGTTTTAGCACATCATCCACCACTTTGAAGGCTGACTGCACTCAATTTCTTAGACAATCTACACACCATTTTCAGTTCTGTACCTCCATAATTTATCACAACAATACCTCAAGCATACAGATGGGGGGGAGGGAAATGAAAGCAATTTACAGTATCAAGATGAAAGAAGCTGGACGGCTCGAGAAGACCTACTATGTAAATCATATCCACAACTTGAAGGAATGTCGCCATAATATTCTGGAATTAATTTTTCCAGCATTCCTATACAGGTCACACAAAGGTAAATGTAGTTTCTTCCTCCCCCTACCACCATATCTGGAGTTGTTTATCAATATGTTAAAGAGGAAATTGATTCTACCTCCCCTTTTCTACATGGACAATAGGAACCTTATGTACAAAAACTTCTTATAAAATAACAACAATCAGTAAAGAATTAGTGTTAAATCTATCTATGCATCTTCTCTTCCGATTTTGTAGGCACTTTCTTAAAAACTTACTCTTCATAATACTCAAGATTAAGAAAGGAAAATAATCTTTTCTCACCGGTGGGCAAGATCAGACACAGTATATCCCACTCAGACATATCTCACCAATCACAGCTAACTTTAAAAACAAAAAATGCAGGCAAAAATTATGTGTGATCTTCATAAACATTTCTAATAAATTTAATATGGAATTTTTAAGTTATTATCGTTAACTTGACTTTAAACACAGACCTTTATTTTCAGGCAGCTTCCTAAATCATAATTGGTAAACACATCTGATTAATCAAAGGTGCATTCTTCAAAATGAAAATGCTAATTTCACTTGATGGGACTATTTGCAGACAACTTTGTACCAACAGTTACTGATTTCTTTTACACACAAGTGTATTTTTCCTGGGTGCAGCATGTGAACCGTTTATCCCAAGGAGAACCAAAAGGCCACGTGCAAATATGTTTACACAGTTTTCTCTTTTCTCAATTATCAGTATTATATTTATCTAAGAAACCTCTGAATTTAAGTACATTTATTGTGCCCTTCTCAGCACTTCAACTGTAATATGCTTCTCGGTTTCTCTTTCTCCCAGGATTTACTTTAAAAGGTACAAGCATGTTAACAGATTCAAACAGCTGCTATGGAAAAAAATCATCACGAATGTGTTTCCTTCTTCCTCCTCAATTGTGGATTTAAATCTCAAAATACACTAGGCTGAGTTGCAAGAAGCAGTTGCAGTTACAGGATTAACTCCAGACACCTCCTGCTCTAACAGGCTCGAAGTTGGGGCTTATACCAGTGGAAAGGTGATACAAAAGATATTCATCTCTTGCATTGCACATTGGTGGGTCCTGACATTCTGGGTCAAGCAAACTTTAACGAATTGGAAAACTATTTGAAGTTATATTTAGTTATTTCCAAATATATTCCATGTTTTTCTCTCCTTCCAAGGAATACATTTTTAGATTCAAGGCAGCCAGTTTAAAAGACAGGAGCCTTCTAAAAAAAGCCCACAACCTAAGACTGTGTTTCAGCAGAATATGTAGTATATTCCTAATATGTGGTTTCACGCAGGAAAGGTAACCCGTTCCCATAAAAAGGGAACAGGGAATTACATATTAATTCTTGAACACATAATCTCCATACCTCCAACCCTGCTTCAACTCAAATTGTTAGATAACTTGCACAACAGTCATATGCCCACTGCATAGCTAAAAGGTGTTTCTACTGCCATCCTTCATTTAGGCACATGCGTGGACCCCATCACTCCCTATCAAGCGTGTTTCAGACACGGGCTATTCAATTTAACATTACCATTACCTCATCATTCATTTAGCAAAGACATATATCTTAAAACTGTACTTGTAATATGATGACTCCTTGCTGAAATCACCTACTCCTTGTCTGACCCCACCCTAACACAAAAACTGACTTACAGTTACAATTTTATTTTTCTCTTCTAGTTCTGACATGACACTTGGAGTCTTCAGCTCATTTTCCCAGGGCAGATCCCCTCTGTGAGACCCCAAGAATCCTGCCAACACTTAACTTCTAGCCATCGGGCTACAAGTAATAATGCCGTTGTATTTTGGGGACTGATCATCGTATCCAGTTTCATGGAGGCTCCACTGAGATTCGCAGTGAGTGAACAGGCGGATTTAAGGTTCACAAAGTCACAAACAAACATTTGCCACCTTGTCTGGCTAAAAGGTGTTGGCCAGAGTGTGCAGGTTGAACAGGGAGTGTTTTACAGTTCTTGTCTGAACACTAAGCTCTGCTCAGAGAACATTTCTGGCCTTCTGAAAATCCCAGCCATTCTAGCGTGGCTCTTCCGTCATTCAAACCATGCAAATTTAAAGGGTTTTAAAAGAATTTATGTTAAAAAGCAATTAATAACAATTTACAATACTGAAACATAATATGGTATCTACCACTGTATATTTGGTTCCCAATGCTAAGTAATAAATATCTGCTAATAGAGTAAGTAGTCCTACACTAACAAGTACCTGAAGTCAACAGCATTATTCAGAGAAAATTGGACTAATTGATATGAATAAGCATGAAATAAGTGTTTTTGTTTGTTTTGTTTGTTTGTTTGTTTCTCTCACTATCCTGTATACTTTGATATTCTCTGTATTGATATGGAAAGAACAGCAGAAAAAGTCTTTGTTGCTAGGAAACTTCACCAGTTCTCAATGAAATTCACAGCAGAGATGTGTGTAATTTGCATTACAATTACAGTTAAATGATCATGCTGTGAATGTTGTATTCCTGATGTCTTAGAATAGTTGTCAAACCTTAAAGGAGGCAGAACAACAAGGAACAGGAAAAAAAAAAATCATTTGAGCACCCTATGTACTTGCTATGAGAGGAAAAACTCCATTTGCAGATTTTGTTACCAAAAAAGTTTGCATGTATGTTCAGAGCAGAGAGCTTCTGCTCAGGCACTTTTATAAATTTTGAAATCATTGCTCCACCTCTATAATTTGGAATCCAGTTATAGGACAAATGCAGCTTGTTATCACAGGAACATTTTTTTTTTTTTTAATTTCCCTAATTACTGTACTTCTTACAAGTACATTCAAAGGGCTGAAAGTCAGCATTGCTTTTATTCCTCTGTTTTATCATCTACTGGGTTACAAGGGTAAGGAAGCCCTGACACTCATACAGTCTTTCACTTTTAAGGGATACTTCACTTCTAAAGGATCCTTCTAGGGATGAGCAAAGAAAAATAAACATGGCCACATTCAATAGTATATGTGGCACTAACATTAAAAAAAAAATAATCTGCTTTTTCTATAGGGGACTGAATGTTGTGTGGGATCCTGAGCAGATACATATTGGTGTATATATTTGTACTATATAATTACTGATAAATAGCTTCCACTAGCTCAAGATAGCTGATGTGGGCAGTATCGTAGCAAATGACAGAGCTTGAATCCTTCATTACCATTGGTTTAAACTTGGTGTCTGTGTGAGTGTTAAAAAAAATTTCCAAGTGGTTAAGTTATGTTTAATCTGATATATTGAATGTCCCTGAAGACTTACTCTATAATAGCTTGCTTTAGACTGATACACTAACTCCTTCCCCCACACACCATTTTTCCTTTTCTTTTAAATAACAAATTTCTTTAAAAAAATAAAATAGAGCGTGTGTGAGACGGAAAGCTTATATTTCAGGGAAGAGTGGAGCAAGGGGCCAAGGGAGGCCACATAATTGGGTGTGATGTGTCAGCTTCTCTCGCGACTGTAGGGACCATTCTGTCATCACTTCCGCAGCGCGAAAGCGAGAGGACTGCACAAATCCCCACGTCTCCCGTGACTTAACCAAACACTGTGGTCACCTCTTAGAGAAAAGTCAGTCAAGAGGTGCGCAGGTGGTTTATACATTAGCAAAGGAAGCAAGAAAGGGGGGGATGCTAGAGCAAGGCAGAGAATAAGATAGTGTGACATGAAAAGAGGGGCTTGCCAAAACCAGCATATTCATATCACTTTTGCCAAGCAAATTGCAATAAAAAATGAAAAGAAAAAAAAAAGAAAAAAAAAAAAAAAAAGAAAACACCACAATCTAAAGCTACACTAGCCAAAGGTAGATAGCTTACTTTTCAGCTTTGTACTACTCTGTAAACACAGCTCTTCCATTGTTTCTCCAGTCGTTTTCTCTCCCCTAAAGGGAAAACAGAAAAAACTAACAATGCATCACACTTCACCTATGTTCTGAGCAATTTCTGAGCAGGCAGATAAACACAGCCAGTAGTTAAGAGACATCGCAGCTGTACTCCTCTCTCCCTAAACCTTCCTAACAGCGATCCTGTTAGTCCCAATAGGCAGGATTCATCCCCCCTACCTTAGGTGGTAGAAACACAGACCTTCAGGTTGGAGATGGTCATCTCTTTACATTCGAATAGAATGAAATAGGCAGATCAACAGGATGGTTCATTTGACAAATTTTAGGTATGTCTTAAAAGAAAAAAATGCCCTCTATAAATGTCATTTTCTTTCCATTAATTACAAGAGTATAGACTCATAATTCAGATGCTGACATACATACAGGGTATGTGTAGGCTAGCTTTATGACTGGCATCTTGCATGAGGGAATGAAGCATCAGCATTCAAATAAATGAATAACGAGACCTCTAAATTCCTTTATTTCTGTTTGAACAAATTCACATTTAAACCATGCCCAGTTTTAGAAAAGGAAAGGATGATATACCGTACTTTTGTTTTGCCGTACTCCTCCATTGCATTTCAGCCACATTTAGTTCGATTGAAGTCCACTGTAAGTCATGGTGATGATCCTTCTCCTTTCTGGCTCTGCAGCCCTACGGATCTGAGAAATGAAAAAGCATAAATTAAATTTCACTACATCCTCCTGAAACTCAATAATAAGAATACATATATAAGAATACATATATATACATATATATATGAGAATATGTATATATATATATGTATACATATCACATACATTATATCCCACTGTACATGTGGTTTATTCATCTTTGGAAGCTGTCCCACATCAGAAGGAATGCTATTAATTATTACAATCCAAACTTAATCTCTATTTCTGGCAAACAAGATGCATTTCAACCTGTATCAAATTGTGGACCAGAAATCATTGTTTTCCAGTTTCCCACGTACCTAGACAACTTCTGAATTTACATCCCAGATTTCAATAGTAAACTGGAGCCATGATAAATGTAAGAGTTAATCCTTGAGTGTGAACAGGTCAATAAAACAAATCTCTCCCAGGTTACACTTCACTGCTTTGTTTTACCAGTGAACTTGGTCCTGCACAAGTTCACCCATGCAGTACAAACTGTTCCAGAGCCCGTGAACCTGAAGCAAGAATGCTGTTTCTAGCACCTAATACTGCCATAATTTACATACACACATACTGAAAATCCTCAAGGTTTCCAGAAAAGAGAAAAACCGTGATGTACTATCATCTTTGTGCTGACTAACTTGTGATACAAATTTATACTCTGTGGACTGACACTATTTATCACAGGGATCTAGGAACAGGATTTCAGTGCACTATCTGCTTCTCTGAGTCCTGTCCCTTGCACACAGAGGAAACTGCACAATAAAAGAGCCCAGAAGGATTTACAGATTATGAGGTCTATGCACAAGTAACCTGTAATGAACCAATACCTACAGTTTAAAGAAAACAAACAAACAAAAACCACACACAAATAACTATAACTAGCCATAGAAACAAAACAGAAATACATCGCTATTATTTCAGGTCTTTCAAATAGCAGGAAATGCATTAAAAGAAACAGCAGAGCATGTGTACAGAGTGGATCATATCTCAGACCTGCTTCAATGCAGAGTAGTCTCCATTGTTTGAGAACCTTTCATGTTAGGGCTGGAAAAAAATGTACCCAAGAGGTTACCTGAAAAGCAGATTCCCAATAAATTTACCATGTGTAAATAATTTCAGATACTATTAGAAATGACATGAAATGGCACTTCAAGCTCAGGATTAAAGCTACACTGAATGCCCCAAGTTGAAGCAAGAAGATTAATTTGGTTTACAATCCCTAATTTGTGTGTGTGTGTGTTTTTATTATTAGGATGGGAATCAGGGATGCAAAACACTACACTTGCAGCAATAATCCTTTGATCAGAACCAAGAAATATGAGAAAACTTACAAGAAAGCTTGTTCTCATGAGAGGAACTCCATCTTTGTTTGAGCAAACAGCATCCAGATATCAAAGCTAAATAGCAGGTACATTAGAAATACCATAATGAACACAGCAGTATCTTGCAGTATTTGAAAGGCTTGCATTTGAAGAGCATGCAAAAACAGAAACAGATTTTCTTTCTGCTCTTTCTGTATTATATATTAGATTATTATTGCCATACGTGAGACCTGTGGAATTTGGGAAGGAGCTTTCTTTATGGGCATGACAATGCATAGGATGAGCTCCAGAAATACTATGCCGTAGGGTACATGTTCTGGGACAGGTGTCCCTACCAAAGAAAATTTTGTATTTGACTTCGCTAGCCTGAAATGTACATTAATCACCTGACAGGGTCACTGCCAAGATCATATGATTTATTAGTTCAAACATCAAACATTTATTAGTTCAAACATTTCACATACAACAGGGCAGAAAAATTATTAGCTTGATATTATATACATGACTGTAAGTGTCCTGTTTAGTTTGTAAGTCTGCAGTCACAGTGGGATGAAGTATAAAAAAATAACAGTACTAATACCTTAAAACACTCTATATATGTGAGAATTTCTATTTTGTGGGAAAAAAATCTCAGATGTAAAGAACGCAATCAAATCCTTTGTTTTAAATGGCATAATTACTGATTTCACTGCAAATTTCCTCTAAGTGAAGTTCTCTTAGAACCAGAAACATGTATCCACTTAGCAATTTTCTACAACAAAAAAAACCTGTACAAAATAGTGATTTATTTTTATTTGTATATTTATCAGGACAGAAATCTGCTTGGCTTCCTTTCATTCATGCTCCTCTTATACTTAAAAACAAAGCCCACTGTGTGAAGGGACTTTGAGGCTATGCAAAACAAGTAATTCAGAAACAACAACAAAAAAGAGAACTAGGCAATGTTTTCAATCAAAAGCATAGAACATGGCTGTTTAGATTTCTTCTGATTAAGTTTCTATTTTCTATTTTATACGCATAAACATATATATATATAATAGCTTCTGTGACACTACTATTTAGAACAGAAATTTTGTCTTAAGTACTTTTAAAAGCTTATATGCCATTTAAAAATACATTTATGTACTTATCTACCAATGCTTATGTTGTTACTCCTCTTGTTTAGACTAGGGATTTCCAGATTCCACAGAGCTAATGCGGGAAGTATTTAAAAAAAAAAAAAAAAAAAAAAAAAAAAAAAGCAAGCATGCTGAAATAACTATTTTTTTTGACAGACTGACAGACATAACACTTGAGTAATGAGAATTTACTGATTTACTGATTGCTGTTGTGAGGTTGAGTACAGGTAACATAGGAGTGACAAAACAGAGTTATATAAAAATTGCTTCTAGTTTCTTAACCAAAAGTATTAAATAACAAATAAATAAGTACTGATGATGGAAAGCTTCAGGAAAAGCCCATCTCTACTCAATATCCTTAAAGAGACAAGAATTTCCAATTCTGAGGAATCAGATTCTATTTTATTTTATTATTCTCACTGAAGCAGTGGCCAAATAAAATGGCAGCCAAGCTGGCTTACTGCCCTCAACTCAAACCAAATGTAAGGTCTGATCTCCCAGCTTAGAAGCTGGCTATATCTTCACAAAGACCTGGGGCAGTATAGCTCTGTCTGTGCAAGATAAGCACAGAGTGTAAATGCAAAGCTGAATGCAGGTTGACTAACCTTTTTAATTAAATGTGTTTGTGTGCTCAGTTAGAGCAGAAGTAGAAATCTCTGGGCAAGGTAAACTAGATGGAAATACCGCAATTAAAATATATTTGTGTGTGTGTGTGGTCCTAGTCAACACTTCTAAGGTAATCTCTTGCACAATAAGATGTAAGGCCACGTGACTGATTTATTTATTTATTTATTTATTTAAATAGGAAAACAAACCCATATTTCACAATGGAGGGGACTAGTCAGTGGATTCTCATGGAAATCTGCAGTTCAACCACCTCATAAATGATACTGAAAAGGAATAAATTGTCAGATAACAAAGAGGGTTGACACCATAAAAATTAGTCAGGAAAATCAATGCTAATTTGATTGCAGAAAGATCTCATGATGATGTGAATGGGGGAGGAAGGGGGAAGAAAAATGAATTTTAATGTTAATAAATATGGAGCAAAATACAGAGAGAAAAGGTAATTATATAATGATGGACACTAAAGTGCTCTCAGGAAAGCACTTGTGAACACACTGCGGACAGTAAGCTCAATGTGTAGGAAAAGGGAAAATAACAAATGAAACATTCAGAATAGTTATGTACAAAAAAAAAGAGGACAAAGAAGAAAAAAATATTTTGCCAGTGTAAGTCACCAGTGTATCAGCCATTACTTGAATACTGGATGCTGTTTTGACCTCCACAAAAATACAACAGAGCTTCAAAAGACACAAATTTTGCTCAGGATAACCAATGATGAACAGAGATGCACAAGAATTCTGTAAGTAGAGAAATTAATCAGACTGGGACCATTCAACCTAGAAAAAGAGGCAGGTGAGAGAGAATTTGTTTCCTGCTTATGTTCTCAAGTCAAAGTTTCCACTATTTCTCAAAACAGAAGAACTAGGTAATATCAACTTAAATCATTAGGCAGCCTATTTAAAATAAGCACTTTACCAGGAGTTCCATTTTTTTTTCCCTCCCAGATAATTCATAATTAAATTCATTGATTAAAGTAACTTATTGCTACATATGCAATTGGTCAAATTTATGGAAAAGAGGTCTATTAAGGGTAGTGAAACACAACAGTACAGTAAAACCTATAAAAAGAAAACCCTAAAATGAGGTAATTTGAAGATGGAAAATATTTTCTACTGGACATTTCCTTATACACTTTCTGTAATCTAGCAGACTTCATCAGAAATAACCTAATGGACAGATGGACTGACCTCTGGTGTCATTCAACAATCATTCTTAAGTTTCCACCCTAAAGATTATTCTTGGAAGAAGAACAAGATACTAGAAAACATTTACTGACAAAAATATTTATCTTTGCTAGAAGCAAATGCACTTTTTGAACTTCCACCTCTCAGCCTTGACTAGAGCAGAGAGAGTGGGAAGAGAAAATCCGCTGCAAATTGTACCATACTTCTACTTGTGCTCTGTGACTCAACACACTTTTGAGCTTTCGAGGGCTCAAGTATCATTTTGTTTACAATATTTCAGTTGTTTAATGCTAGTACAAAAACTTACGTTATGTTCAATGCAAGTTGTGTGAATGTTCAATTCACTCTGAACTAGTCTTAAACACAAATAAAATTCCTTTTTCTTTGAAACTGAAAATCTCTGTTGGGTTACAAGAATAGATTATCTGTGACTAATCTATACTGGTTTCATGGTTGTCCTTAGGTACCTACATCTTTCTTAATTGTCCATGGTCAGTAAATTACTATGCTGTCTGAGAACAAGAGAAATTCTAGCATTTATTTATGTATTATTTAAAAATACTTCATAAAAAATCTGAAACACTAACATAGCTGTTTGTTGAGTGTTGAGCAAGCAAGTAGGTAAGACTTAAAGTCATTACCACAATTGTTTTATTCTTGAGCTACCTTTAAAGTACACTAATGGAAGTTACAGAAGATCATAATTTAGCTTAAGAACCCACTAATCCTGGAAAATTAGAGAAATCAGCCAAAGCTTTTTCCATTGACGTATGGCTTCCAGACCTCAGAGAGGCTGAACATGGAAGCAATCTGTTTGCCCCATAGCAATAGTCAGCCTGATTCATCAGAAACTCTTTTCCTATTCCCTGAGCTTCCTGGGAACATTGCCACTCAAAGAGACTGACAGGGTTTGGTCATCATTCAACACTGAAGCTACTTTAAAATGATAAATGTCACATTTTTACCAGTTACTTTAGTTCCACTTTGAGTAAAATCCCCTCTGTCCTGTGACTATTTGCAATTTGATGTTTAAATTATTTCATTACCTCTCTTTTCAGAGTTATAGTTACAATATCACTTTTTCTAAAGAGACAAATGAAACCAGCCAAACAAACAAACAAACAAAAAAAAACCATTTTATTTATAAGCAATTACAAGCTACTTAAAGAACTTGAAGCTATTGATATTGGCATAAAGTTGACTATGGTCTTTGACAGCACAAATAGTCTCATAAGACTTTCTCTTTTTTGACAACACTTAATACTCGACTATTTCTTTATTTCATTGACCTTTTGATTTTCTAAAGCTTTCACAGTTTTTGTGGTTTAATTTCCTCATATATTAGCTAACGTCATCTTACATTCAAGGGCTGAGACAATCAACTGTCTACCAGTCTACCCCTGTAAAAGGCAGAAGGGGCCAAGAGTATTCAACTCCAAGCTCAGGTAATTTTGTTTTCATCCTAACTTATCTTTCTCTGTAAGGAAAACTGCACCCCCACTTCTCTCCAAAGGATGCCTCCTCTACAGTTTCAAGACTGAAAAGACATTCTGTTTTATTATCTTTCCATGTTAATATTTTCAGACTCAGGATGTGCATGAGCAATTCTACCCTTTTATTCTTATAGTCTTTTTATTCTAAGGAATCCTTTTTGTTTTCTGTAATGGAATATAGGAGTCACCAATTCACATCAGAGCAGTGGTCCCTTCAGTATTCATCACAGAAAGCCTTTGATGAAAGGTGTGGGAAACTCACACCTACTAGCACACTACGCCCTTATAATGAACTATCAAGCAGGGGAGTTTCTTCCTCACCTACATTAATTACAGGCTGACATATTCTGAGGCTTGAAGACTTAAATCCCTGCTCTAAAATCTTCTCTTACGTAAGTCTGGAAAATTTTATTAGTGCTATACATTTCCATAAAACATTATTTTAAAGGCAGAGACTCTAGGATGCAGGAGAACGTAGCACACCAATCCACAGTATATAATGTGGCATTAGAAATAACGTAACACTTCTGTGATGCCCTAAATGATTACTTCTTACATTAGGAACAAGATTTGTTAATGTTATTCCTCTTGCAGAATTTACTTCTAACACATCAACAAATGTAAACATTACCTAAAGCCCCTTTCAAGTATAAGTAATGCAATTCTGACAGTAGTTAAAAAAGAAGGTACTGAGTTAAGCGTAAAAAGGTTTAAAAACCAGGAATGAGTCTTATTGAGAAATACTTTATTAAAAACACAGAAATGAACTTTAAAGAATTTTAATTATTCACAGAGAAGATTCTAGCTCAAGTGTGTATTAACGCACTTCTCTGTTATTAGCTTTTGCATTCCATTAATTACTTTCTTAACTATTTCCTCACCTTAGCAATGCATCATGGAAGGCTGTTTCCAGTTTTCTAGTGAGGATGAAGTAATTCTGCACAAATATATCCCTGCAGAATAAATGCATGTAATTTATTACCCCCCCAAAAAAAAGAAAAAAGAAAAAATAGGAGGGAAAAAATGCCTTTACCTTATTTTCCATTTGGCCTGAAACAACGATACAGACTGGACCATGCAATTAAATTATCTGCTGAGACCAAACATTTCCTGTACCATTTTTCAAGAAATGACCTGTCTTTCACCCTCTTCTCTTCCTCTTTCAGCTGTGTTATTCCCAATAAGTAGCCATTGGCATTCAAGAGTCTATATTTATGAAGTTACTATGCATACCGTCATCTGAGCTGTCACTACAATGTCCATACCTATTAACAGGGAAAAGCCTGAAGTGTCAAGTACCTCCTGCATGTATCTGCTTGTAGTATGTGCAAATACATGCATATGCATTTTTTTAAATGTCACTTTTCCTGCACTCTAGGTGAATTTGTTTTGATTTGGTCTTGGTTTCTTACAATGTTTTTCTGAAAACTGTGCCACCTCACCAAAATAACTCGGCTGCAATCATTGTGCTTATACAGATATTAATTTTTATATATTCTTAACATTTATATGTGTAAGAAACATGTAAATATATATATGCAAACATAGGTAAAAATAATTACATAATGTATTATATATATTTTATAACTACTACCTATAAAAATAATGGTATAAACTAATACAGAGAACATAAATATTTGCATTTATATTATCAATTGGCTTTTTTTTTCTTCATTGTGTGCCCATACAATTGTATAGTAAAACTGTCTGTAGACACGCTGAACATTTCTGAGGGGGAACACAATGAAATATGTTTAGCAGCACAGAGAAGTAATCATCGAGCAAATCACTCCATGTAGCAGTTACCATCTATTTTCCATGAAGCACACGGCAAAGCATGTTAATGTAAAGCACAGATACTGCACGGCAGTGTAGTATTACAGCGTGTAGCAAGAGCCCAGCAGCCTGCCCCTGAGCCGCAGCAGCCTGAAACCGTGCACAAGTGCTTACAGCTGCAGTGACATGGTGCTAAGCATGTTTTAAGACTAGTCCCAGTCGAGCGGCATCTTATCCAACCAGAAACAATCCCACAATCCAGCTCTTTTTAAGTGATCATCCTTGTATCATAACAGATTAAGGTTGCAGCTACTTTGGATTATGGTTAATCTAACCTTTATCCATTCACATCTTCACCTGAAACTTGCAAGGACCAAGAGTCAATTGCCAGGGCATAATTCACAATGACACTGATCTTTCCTTCCTCACTCTAATTATCTGGATTAAGAATAACACTTTTGAGTAATTATTTTCACATTGGATAAACATTAAGCTTTCCTGGATTTATCTGAGCTTTTTCTTAACATGAAATAGATCCAAGCAGGCTTATAAGAACATAACTGACAGCGGTGACAGCTTAATCAAGGAAAAGCTAAACAACTAAAACAATAGGAAATGTTTGTTTCACACTGTTTTGAATAATCGAGAACCAGAAGCTTAATAACCCACTGACAAACTATTTACTCAAAGGCTGCAGAAAAAGCCATAGTCAGGCAGATCAATTACAGTGACTTGTACTGTCTTAATAAAGATGCAAAATTTCCTCTGATGCAATATCAGATCAGAAGCGAATGGGAGTTTACCAGTTGTAGAAAAAGTACAAACACATGAAGCTGCTGATTCACAGGATTGGTATAACAGAGAAGAGAAAAACAAACTGTATTATCAGCTTGCTAAAACTGTAATTAAAATGAATCAGACACCATCTGTATCACTTCTGATGACTATTTCTGAAGAAACTGCACTGTCCATCACAGGCTACACAGGCTCCCCAAAATTGCTATCACAAGCAGGCTAGAAAAATCTTCCAACCTTGTCTTTGAAACTACCTAGATCATATACAATTACACACTAAAATCACATCACAGAACCCAATTACACTTTGGCTTTGCAGATCCACAGATAACCTCTTAAAGAGCAAACTCCCTTACTGTGTCGACCCCTGACCTCGAGCTCTTTTTCCAATCTTCAGCAGCACCACATGTTTCTTTCCCAGAGTGAGCCGGGACTTGGAGCCGCACGGTTTCGGAGGGGTAGCAAGTGCTCCAGCTATCATAACTTTAAGGTTAAGGGAGCACGCTGCTAATATCTCATTCGCAAACTTTAATGCATTCCTTATACTACTATTTAATTTAGTTTGAACATTATTTATGAAGGAGTTTTCAGTAAGTATTTTTCCATTTGTTGGAGGCTTTTAATAATTTATAAGTAATAATTTTATTTGGCTCCTAAAAGGCTTTAAAATGTTATGCATCAATTGAATACTTTAACTGGCACTGGAAGTCGAATCACAAACAAAGAAATGTATTTACATCTTAATTTTAGGAATTATTTTAGAAATTGGTCAAATAAGAAGCACAGAAGATTTTGTTTAATAACTTTACTTCCCGAAGGCTCCACAATAGCAATCACACCACTGGGACTTTTTCTTACACTTAGGAATAATAAATAGTAAAACCAGGCTTTCATACTGGTTTATGGTTTCTATGATTTCTTCATCATGTCAGGAGGAGAACAGGAGCTACAGCAGAACATCATTAGCTGGGTCTCAAAAAAACAGACAAAAAAATACCACAATTCTGGGCACTTCTGTAGCTGGGGCAAAGTAATAAAGATGATAGCAGGAATAACATAATTAATTCCCTGCACATGCATACAAATATGCAAACCCTTCTTTATTGGAACTATTTTCTGTGTGTATATATGGCTACCTCAATGAGATGTGAGCAGAACTCATGCGCTGGTGAGTACTGACACGTAATCACCTGCAAGTTACTGACAACTTACCTTGATGACAGGCAAGGAGTTGTGCACTTCACATAACTTACTGCTCCCAGCTACACATATATATTGAGACCATCTATGTTTCTCTGATATTTTAAGCCCTTGTAATCAAAAACATTGACATGCGTCTCAGGTGTTCAATATGCCTTCTGCTCGCTGAGCATAACTCACCTGAAAAACTGTTCTTCCTCACTATTCTGACTTCTCATGAAATGATTTCCCCAGACAATGTTTCCTACTACACTAACTTAAGAAAATGATGGAGGAATTGTGTAGGTTGGCCAACTTCTTTTCTTTCCAAAAAGACACAGTCTATTGCTTACTGACTGACAGATAATCATGAAAAGCCATTTGGCACTGAAACTGTACTGCCTTAAATCTTTTTTTTTTTTTTTTTTTTGGTGTGTATGTGTGTGCGCTTGAATTCAAGGCCTCTCTAAAGGGTTCACTCAGCTACTTTTACTGGATACCAAAAACCGTCTCCTTGTGTTTAAAAGGTACATCTTAAGGGAGCAGAAGGGACTCAAACACTTGTAAATGATCCAAGAACTAAGAGAAATTCAACTACCTCCTGGTGCAATCATGGTACTACTTTCTAAACTACCGTGTGCAAAATCTTTGCAACTGAAAACACTGATGCCAAACTACAAACCTGTCACAGAATGGCTGAGATTGGAAGGGACCCTCTGGGGGCAGTCTTATCCAAATAAGCAGACGTGCTACACATAATTTGAATTGTTTTTATCTGGCAAACACCCTGATTAAGACTATTTTTATTTTAATGTATTTATTTTTTATTTAAGACCTATTTCAAACTAGTCCATGTCCTAGGAATCTAAAGCCTCTAGTATTAATAGTATTGGATATGATATGAATAGTATTGGCTGAAAGTATTAACTTTCATCCAGCTCCTAGATCTTTACTTTAAGCAACACCTCAACCATCCTGTATGAAAGCTGTTTTTTACAAAAAAAAAATAAAAAAAATCAACTTAGCAATGTTTTGCTTTCATAACTTTTCTCTTCTAACCAGCCTTGCTACGTTATTAGGTAGATGTGCTCCTCATCCTTTTCCTGATATTACAATAAAATCATCCAGAAGAATTCCCTCACTAAAAGGAAGACAACAAGGAAAACTAGGCAAGTTCTCTAAAAATAATATAGGGATAATGCAAAGTAGATACGAACAGTTGACTGCAAAGATGGAGGACAATTGTTTAAACTGGTGATTTTTGGTTGTTGATTAATTGCAGAAAATCCAAAGAAAAGAGAAAGGAATTATTGTCAGCATTAAAATAAATAAATAAATAAATCCAGAGAAAACTAAAAGAGAGGTGGATTATCAGTTTTCACATATTTGAAGAGAATATTATACTTTGAGACTCTTCACATATAATAGATTAATAGATATAATATGTGATTATATTATCCTAGCTCTTCACATATAATAGATTAGATACTGGAATATGCAAGGATAGGAAAAGAATGTAGAAGATCACATTGAAGAGTTTCCCTCTTTTTCCTTTTTTTTTTTTTTTTTGACCAGGTATATCCCCATATATTATATCTGCCTTTTCCATAGAACATTTTAAACTATATTTTCTACTGGTTTGTTAATATTTTGACTGAGGCAGCTACTAATCAAAACATCTTTCCTGCTTTTGTTCCCATGCCATATTCCCTACTCTGCTTTCTACCTCAAAATGTTTCCACTGTAGACCAATCTCTTTTGCTTCATACAAAGGAAAGAATTTCTAATGAAGATAAGATGCTTCATATAAATTTTGTTACAGACACCTGTGTGAAAGTTTGGCCAAACAATACCACGTGTCTAATTCAAATTTATTCATTCAGACATCTTGCAGTGGAAAACTGAGTCAAGACTGAGTTTTTACTAAACAAAAGAAGCTGTGGAATTGTTTGCTTTCCTTGATGATTTGTCCACAATTTGTCCAAAAAAATAAACCATTCAATTTCATGAACAGTAAAACTGTTCACAATCAATAGTACATTTATTGAGGGAACACTGCTAGTTTTTTGTTGGACTTACAGAAATGTCTGTACTTTAGGTAGGAAAAATTATTTTCTCTTGTCCCTTCTTTCACATAGATTTTCCACAGGAAAAAATGAAGAATTCTCTGATCCGTTCCTACTAACATAGATATTACAAAATTCAATCGCAGGAGTTACGTTGGCATGCACCAACATCTCATTTCTTTCATGTAAGTAGAAAGTAATATATCATGTCTCTAAAAAAACACATAACGGTGGATGAAACGAAATAAAAGAAAGCCTTCAAAAAACATTGCTGGAGACTGCTTCTTGAAGATAGACACAATGTGGCAGCTTAACGTCTCAGGCACTAGAAATAATACTTTCAGCTACAGATAATGATGTAGCAGTATTCTCAGA